ATATGAACCGTCTTCAACACACACACACACACACACACACACACACACACACACACACACACACACACACACACACACACACACACACACACACACACACACACACACTAAATCTTGTTTGTCCAACAACAAGACACCCAAGGCTGACTGGCGCCCTGCTCGACCAGTTTTTGAAACACACACACAATCACAAAGTGACTAGACAAGACACCGATTGAAGTCAGACGCACACACGAACACACACACACACACACACACACACACACACACACACAAATAAACATCCAGTCCCCATTCTGTAACCTTGCAGTGAAGGTTACAGCAGTCAGCTGGGTCAATGTGATCACTTGACCAGCTGAAAAAATGACCTTCTAGATACCCACTGCGTGTGTGTGTGTGTGTGCGTGCGTGCGTGCGTGCGTGTGTGTGTGTGTGTGTGTGTGTGTGTGGGTGGTTTGAAATCTCCAGGTGAGCAAACACACCATGTCCCTACGTTTTCTTCCTCACAGAGCAGCTTCAAAAGTTCAAAACTGTAAACTGAAAAGAAGTTTCACAGCAGCAGCCGAGCCTGTGTGTTGAGTTTCCAGCCCACCTGTGGGATGATGGGATGTGTAGTCTCAGAGTCGCTCTTAAACCGTCTTCCAGCACTCAGAATACGCCGATCCAAATTGTCACTTTCTCATCTTCCTCCTCTCTTCCTCTGCTCTCTTTGTCAGGTTGTCTCTTACCTCCAGTTGGCTGTCAAAGCGCCTCCTGTCTTCAGTGACAGCCGCCCCCCGACCAAAAAAGAAAAAAAAAGAAGCACAATGAGAGCAGATCTCAGGCACTTGAAGCAAACACACACACACACTCATACACCAATCACTCATGTAATAGGAGAGGACAAGTCAGAGTTTCTCTTCTCCTTTTGGTGTTTTTTTCAGATACTGACTCAGATCCTCTGTGTTTGTCCTCTCCTCTGCTCCAGTCACGACAACACGTGTAGACGTAACAGCAGGAGACGGGACAAGTGTGGGGGGGTGCACAAGGTCTCCAAGTGGAGGAGAGAGCAGGAGGTGACGGAGAAGAAGGAGAGAGAGAGTGAGGGTGGAAAAGATGAAGGGCAGTGGTAATTAGTGAGTCTGTACCTGACTCTCACTGACATAAGCCCCACATTCCTCAGTTCTGAGAAGGGGGGAGAGAGAGAAACGACTGAGAAGAGAGGAAAAGGACAAGGAGTAGAGAATACCTTTTTGATCCAACGAGACCCAAAACTCTCCCCTCCTCACAGCAAACCATAGTTGAGAAATCAAGACGTCCAGTGATCCTAACTGCAAGAGCTCTCCCGTCACTTTTTATTTAACTAAGAAACCTCCCTGTCATACTTTCCATTTACCTCTCTCTCTCTCTCTCTCTCTCTCTCTCTCTCTCTCTCTCTCTCTCTCTCTCTCTCTCTATCTCTGTCGGTCAGTCTGTCTGTCTGAAGTGCCGTGTGTATGGTGTACACACTACCTGCTCCCAAAACTCACCAAACCAGAATCCAACTGCCTTAACTCACAATACTCCTCCCTCCCATCATTCCAAATGAGAAATGCTATCCGCCTGTGCCCCTGTTCAACCTGATTCAGTCAGTGTCTGAGTGTGTGTGTGTGTGCGTGCATGTATGTGTGTGTGTGTGTGCTACCTGAACACCCACCCTGAAACAGCATCCAGCAGCCAGAGCAGCATTCCTCCAAAAGGGCTTTCCTTCTCACCTCACCCAAACACCTCTCACCACATAATCGTTTGCTTCCACAACCATCCAACACCAGATCATTACTGTCAGTCTCACTCACGCCGACCTCCTGCTCCTCCACAAATAAATTTGCAGCCCTGAGGTCATGATGACACGCTGTCTTTAAGCTACAATCTTCACTCTTTGACGTGTGTAATGCTGATCCCTCCAGAATGACAACTCTCAGCAATAACAGCTGGCTCATACACACACTCTCTCTCGGATTACCTGTGTTTGTCTATCAGCGTGAGTGTGACATGAGGGGAAATCGGAAACTTTAAAACATCTAATATTAAGTTTCCCACTTTTGCTGAAGAGACTCTTGTTTTAAAGCTGAAATGAAAGTAAAACAGCCAGAGTTTCTCAGATTCCTTTTTCCCATGCTGCTCCAAATCTCTTGCTATGCTGCAAATAATACACTTGTTTGATCATGTAGGTTTATTTCAACACGGCAACATTCATCTCCCATTCAGACACTGTGTGTGTGTGTGTGTGTGTGTGTGTGTGTGTGTGTGTGTGTGTGTGTGTGTGTGTGTGTGTGTGTGTGTGTGTGTGTGTGTGTGTGAGTTCACCAACCTGAATTCCTCATAGAGCCAGGTGTGGGTGGGCCCAGACGCCTCAGGTGTACAGTGATTTTGATGTCGACTATGGCTAGTTGTCATGGAGACAAAAGAAAGAGAAAGGCAGGGAGAGAGATGTGCTGATCAGCAACGGCCACGGCTAAACAGCTACCAGAACAAGTGCAGAAGGGAGAAGTGAGGAAGCTGAATATCTGTAGAGTGACAACACACACATTCAGATAAAGTCCACACACATACGCACAGTGGGGAACTTGTATGACAGTGTGTGTCCATGCGTGTGTGCAAGTGTGTGTGTGTGTATGTGTGTGTATGTGTGTGTGTGTGTGTGTGTGTGTGTGTGTGTGTGTGTGTGTGTGTGTGTGTGTGTGTGTGTGTGTGCAAGCGTGTGTGTGCAAGTATGTGTGTGTGTGTGTGTGTGTGTGAGTGTATGTGTGTGTGTGTGTGTGTGTGTGAGTGTATGTGTGTGTGTATGTGCATGCATGTGTGTGTGTGCAAGTATGTGTGTGTGCACGTGCACGCACGTGTGTGTGTGTGTGTGTGTGTGTGTGTGTGTGTGTGTGTGTGTGTGTGTGTGTGTGTGTGTAAGTGTGTGTGTTTGTAGGAAACTGAGATTGAGTCAGACCTGCTCACACAGAGAAATAGTGTTTCAACACAGCAGCTGAACTCAGGCAGGGCTGCTGGACGATTTGCACAATACGTTCGACTTTACTGCTTACTTTACAGATCTCACAAGCTTTGAATTGTGAGGCATGTGAGGTCCAGTGATCAAAGCCTGCTGGTTGTGCAGCGCTCCAGGCTAAAGACCAAAGGTGACAGATCATTTGCCGCTGTGGCCCCCCTGACTCTGAAACGCTCTCTCCCCCTGAGCCTGAGATCAGTGGACTCCGTGGTCTCCTTTAAAAAGCTGAAAACTTGCTTTTTCAAGCTGGCTTTTGCATGACCTTCATCACCACCCTCTCCTTATTGTGCTCTTTCTACCAAATATGCCTTTCCCGACATTTTAACCCCTTTTTGTTGTCCCATTTTAACAATTATATACATTATATTTTGTATCTTTTTATATTTAGAATTTGTTGTTCTTGTGAAGTGCCTTGTCATTTTTATCTTGAGAGCCGCTGTATAAAAGATCATTTTCTTTCTTTATTTATTTAATTTATAGCATTACCCTTCAATGTAGACAAAAGTTACACCCCCCCACCCCTTCCAATAAAGCCCCAATTTGAACTGAGCGACGCTCAGCATTAGCCAGTACTGTTAAAGATCCACTTACATACAGTCAACCACAGAGTCATGTAAAGATTTACAAGGAAACATTCAAATGATCTGCTGTAAAAATTAGGAAGCTGGAAATTTTTTACGATAGCGCAATGCACTACGAAGCTGGTCCATTCAAATAGCATCGGTGCAATAATAGCTCGTTTCCACCGCTGGGTATGGGACGGGACGGGGAGGGTCAGCTCGCTGATTCTTCTGTCCCGATTGGAAAACACAGCCGACCCGGACCCCGCAGCTAACGGCACTTTTGTGGCCCCCTTCTGATAGGTCCAAATATTTGTGGAGCGGTTCGGTTAGGGTGGAGCGACAACACCGTTGACTGATTGGGGGTCAGAAATACATCACAACTTGCAACAAGCAAAACAAACCCAGGAGATCCGTTGTTTGTATTTTCTTTGTTCACAAATGTGAGAAAGTAGCAGGAAGGTTTGGTCAGCTTCAGAGCTCCATACATTCTTCACCATCATCGTGAGAGTCCAAACTCGGGACGAGCTAGACGCATCGCCAAGGAATACAAGTTTTAAAGAAGTTTCTCAGCAGACGGGAGCGGACGTCAGAAAGGTGTTGGAAGAAGCTGAGTAAATTAAAAGCCCAATAAATAAAAGTTAAGCATAGAAACGGGAGAAATACACGGAGGTGATTGGTGATGGTGTCAACTACATTTGGAAAATATAATTTCAGAAAGATTTTCCGCTTTCCATTTCCATTTCCATTTATTTGACAGAGCGCATTTACATGTGAGCTGACCAAAGTGCTGTACAGGGAAAATAACATATAAGGTTAAAAGAATAATATAAAAGAATAAAACAGCTAGAGCATAGCACAAATAACCAAACAGGAGAAGTCGGTAAACTAGGTAAAAGAATAGTGTAAATAAACCTAGATAAAATAGCTAGGCAGTAAAAGCAAGGGAATAAAAGTAAGTCTTTAAGCGAGACTTAAAAACCCCAACAGAGGAGCAGAGTCTGATATCCAACGGGGTTTAGGAGCGCAGACAGAGAAAGCTCGTTCACCACGGGTTTTGCAGCGTAGACGGGGAATCTAGGTGTAGGTCACTTTATCATAGAACAGGGTCAGCTTGTCAAATGTATAAACTATGTTCCCCAGCTTTAAATTGTGCAGTTGGATTATTAGGATTAACACTTTCATCACAAACTCGGTCTTATTTATATTTACCGATGTATGTCTTCTTTTTCCCCTTATTTACCATTATGGTTTTACAGTTACATTATGAAATGAAAATGATCATTAAGTAGTTGATATCGTAACATTAGACAATAAATAGTTTGGTTTAAAGCTTTTCTATAATTAGCGTGTTACATTTCAGGCAGGTGTTTAACATGTGGGAACTTTAACAGATATTCACGTTTGTTTTTGTTAAGCCTTTAGCTGGAATTGTTACATTTTCTCCTGCTGCTGATATTCATGCCTAATATGTAGAGTACTTTTAAGACACCATCAGTTTTGACTGCACTTGGCCAAGCCTTTAGCATGTTAGTCCTGAAAAACCAAAACTCTATATCTGAAAGTGATAAGTTTATGGACTTCTGAATGGACAGAATTGAATTTGTCTCTGATAACTTTGTAGATCTCATATAATTATTTTCCTCTCTTATTACTTTTGAACCAGTTTCAATCTGAAGGGATCCATTAAGCCAGTGGTTCCCAAACTTATTTAGCCACGCACCCCCTTCTATGTCCCGACCATGTCGATGCGCCCCCCAGGCCCCACATTAGGGCATGGCTATATATATATATATATATATATATATATATATATACATGTACATATATATATATATATATATATATATATATATATATATATATATACATATACAAGGCAGCCTTGTAAGAGATGCACATTCCGTGTTTGCACATTTCAAACACAGAGGCTATGTGGTCTAGTTCACAGAGGCCTGGTGAACTAGACCACAGGCTCCACTGGAACCTTCATGGCCCCTAGTAGCATTCTGGCGGGCCAATCACAGCTCTCTATCAGGGTTTCAAACCGGTAGAGCACTGTTATTAGTCCACTATGGTGGGCCAATCACAGCGCTCTATCGGTTTTGTGTGCCAATCACGACACCCTATTGGTGTGGTGGGCAGGATGATGCGACGGAGTGGAACAAGATGGCGACAGCTCGTTTGAAACGGCTTTTACATCATTTTTGGACTATTTAGACTTGGGGTCTATTAGAATCAGGAGTAGATAGATGTATTTAAGTTCTTTCTCTAGAAAAAGGATGTATTTTCACCTTTTTCAGCAGCGGACTGCCTCGTTTACCCATATCCACTGCGGTGAGAACATCTTGTTCTTCATTGTCCAGTAGCATGCAGAGATCGTTGGAAAGACAATGGTAGAACCCACCCCATGACCGAGAACCGTCAATGGAGCGTTACCAGACTATTTATTTAGTCTGGCTTGCCAGGCTACTTGCCAGGAGCAAGAACAGCAAGATCAATGTGACAGCATAATTAAAATACACAAATTCATTTAAATCTAATTAAATACACTAATTAAATTCAGATTTAATAATCAGATTAAAGGCAAAGTTAAAGGGTGAGCAGTTACAATTATCCAGTAATGCCTCGGGCAATGTTTTCAAACAATTATAAAAGATACACGATTAAACCTGTAAAAAGAAATAAATTCCCTTCCATAAATAACACCTGGTGTTAATAATTTCCTCACAGTTTGTGTTTGCAGAGACTTGCTTCAGTTACAGTCACGCCCATAGGATTAGCTCTGATTCTCAGTGATTGCAGTTCAAGCTAATTAAAGGCTTGAGTCTGAATGCTAAATCAGATCTCACTGTGAAACATTACTAACCGGTTTTAGACATCAGGAAGGTTTTACAGCAACAGATGCCTGCTGTGGGAAGGAAACACACTGTTGTTCCTGAACCTTGTTTAGGTTGAGATTTGTAGTATTTACATGTTGTTTTTATTTTGGTTCAATTTTATTTATAAATTTATTATATACACTGCAAGTATAAAATAAGACAAAATGCCATACATAGACCATATTTAACTTTTTATAATTAAGCTGATAAGCTGATCTTTAAGGTGTTTTTACATTATTATTATTTTTATTATTATTATTATTATTATTATTATTATTGTTATTATTGTTATTATTATTATCTTAAGTGCAACTACAACTAAAATGGGGCTCTTAAGTCCACCAAAGTTTCACCAGCATAAATAATTTGGTTTGAATTTGGGATATTTTACCTGCTTTTCTAAAGATATCCAATATGATCAAGCCCATACCAATACACCATGTTGTAAACAATCCTGTAGCAAGCTTTGCGGACAACGTTATCGGACAAGGTGTTGTATTTTGCATGATTTTCTGAATTTATGATTACTGGCAGTTTAGAAACAAAGAAAAATTAGGACTTTGCTACTTTTTTAGATAATTTGATACTGAAACCAAAGAGCGTAGGCCGCGCAGTGCCGATGCTCGCTCTTTGCTTTGCCTCCAAAAATAAATAGTCTCTTACTTTTATTTCCAGTCTCCCCCATGATGCCAACAAAAAAACACACTTCTGCTTCTTCTTGTGCATTTTATTGATGGTAGATAAACTGAAAAAGCTAACTGCTAGTTTTTATATGAGCTACCACCACAGTAAGGCTGTAACACAGGCAGAGACGCCCCTCTAAGCCAACCTGAACCACCAAAGTTGTTTTCTGGTCAGCTGAGGGCTACAGAGTGCTGTCCAATGAGAAGGTGCTCATATTTCTGAATCAAGAACCACCGAGCTAAGAGAAACTGCACATTTTACTTCAAATGATGTCAAAGTCTGCAGGATTTCTTGGCTGAAATGGTCCAAATAGTTTAGATCAAACTTGAGGTGTGAAAACAAGAAGCTTTACCGACCTTTA